AATATTCTTCTCTCCCAGGGCGGTGGCAAAGTAATATATGATATACGATAAAGCAAAATGCCTGGCAAGATACCTGACAGAGAACTGCTGTTCAGTACTTGACGATTGTTATAAAAGCACATCAGTGCACCATAAAGACATTCATGCAGGTGGCAAGCAGAACTACCATGTGCTGGATGGTTCTAGTTGCTGGAGCCACACACAGAACACCTGGCTTGCTGGAGTCATCTCTCTTGTGGAAGGTACATAAAATAAGCAGTCAGTCTCTAGAACGACACTTGACTTGGACAGGACTGATGAACTAAAGCAACACAAGGCCAGACGGAATGTCAGGGAATGCTATTTTAGATATGATGGCCAGAAAATTCTCTCAAAGGAAGTAATAATTCAGTGCAGAACTGAATGGAATGAGGGAGCATGCCATTGAGGTACCCGGAGGAAGAATGTTGTAGATGGTGGAACAGTGCAAAGGTCCTGGGGCAGGAAGCAGCACAACAGGGCTGGAGAACTGGGAGTTGAGGGGGCTCTAGAGGCCCAGTCATCACTTGGTGTATTTCAAGAGGCCTTGGAGGTCTCATGTGTGTTTATCTTGCCTCTTTGATGACTATGAAGACTTCTTAGGCCAGTGGGGAAGAGCAGTTATGACTGGGGTCACTAATACCAGGCTAATCTGAGTGTGAGCTAAACTCAGCTTTACAAAGTTCTTAAAATCTATAAGCCTTCAATTCTTCTACATGATGTATATCATAATAGAACCTATGTGAATGGGTTTTGGTGAAGATTAAATGAGATTATTTGAGTAAGCTGCCTAGCATTGAGTGAGCATTCCATCTGTTAGCTGGTACTATTGAGGGCAGGGGAGCCACACTGTGTAATTTCTTTATCATTCAACACATACGTAATAAACTCCAGCATGTGCAGGTCTTGTGATGTATAATCCCAGACTCCCTAGCACTGTGTTGCCCATATAACTCGACTCGATGAATTCTTGTAGACTCACAAAACAGCAATAATTCTCGAACCTAGCCATCAGCTGACTGACAGCTCTATTCAGAACCCAAGAACCAGAAGGAAAACAAAATATGTGCTTGAATTCCCAAAGCACCTGTCAGAAAGATTACGCACTAAAGCTATAAACTTGAATCATGGGGAGTTCTCCATTCCCCAACTTCCTTTTAAACCCAATCACACGCTCAGTCAGTCAGGTTTCTCCGGTTACAGGGGGGTGGGTAGGGACAGTGGCCAAAGGTTAGTATTACTGAGTGCAAAGAGAGCAATCACCCGAAAGAAAAGAAAATGAGAACTATAAAAAGTAGAGAGGAATAATCACAAAAGAAATATAGGAATTTATTTGCTCATTCCTTGGCTTATTTATTTAAAAATTCATTCAACAAATATTTGTGGGTGGCTATGGTAAGCTAGGCACTGTTGTTGGGAACTGGGGACAGAGACGTGACAAGAACATCATTCCTGCCCTCACAGAGTTGACAGGGACCAACGTGGGGGAGAGGGAGGGGGGGAGGAAGCCAAGGAAACATTTTCAATACCCAGTGTGAAGTGAGCCCAGGGGTGTGAGCACTGGACACCAGAGGGCGCTGGAGAAGCACAACCAGTCTTCAGCAAGCAGAGAAATGGGCAGGGAAGCACAGGAATGTTTAGTTTCAGAGTGGTAATTCATGACTCAGTAATGAATGTTCTAAGTCACCTGCACAAGATAAGGATATCTATGTTATAGCTGATTAAGGAGGGGACTGCGTGACGATTTCCATTCTAAATTATTCAATGTGATAATTGTTAATTGATGTTGTCTGGCAATTTTTACTTTGTTGGAATCTTGCTTTTGTAGCACTCACTTTTTTTTTTTTAAAGATTTATTTATGCATACAGAACTGGGGTACAGGCTAGAGGTGCAGGGGCGGTGAGAGGATTCACCAGAGACAGAGTGGGGAGCAGAACAGGCGGATCATCGAAGTACACTGCTGAGGGGAGCAGCGGGCGGGTCAGGAGAGGTCTGCCTCGCCATGTGGTCACCTCCGGGGCAGGCGGGGATCGAACTCATGCTGAAATGGCTTTAGCTTCTCAGTGCTGTGCTTTAACCCGCTGTGCCACCAAGGAGGGCCCAGCACTTATTTTTATTTCTTAGTGATGTTAAATCTATGTGTGATTATTATTATGTCATAGTTTTCAGGTATGTGATGTAATAGTTGGTCTTGTCCATGGGTATTAAATTACCTAATTTGAATTTATTTAAACTATCTGGTCTTAGGAAGATTTAGATAGAAGTATCCACTTGGTACTGTTAATGCTACAGTTTACTTCATAGCTAAGTAGTGCCCAGTAGTCTACCTATCTGGTTTACTCAAATGAATGCTAGGGCCTCTCTGGTGTCTCAAGGGTTTAAGTCTCAACAATATAAGCTATCAGTAGCCATTGCAGCATGACATCAATCCCCTGCCATGTAGCTGACCCACATGGCACAGCAGACCTCTCCTGTCCTGCCCGCTGCTCCCTTCAGCACTATATTTCATTCACTCTGCTTGTTCTGTTCCCTACTCTGTCTCTGGTGAATCATCTCCCCCTCCCCCACCTTTAGCCTATACCCCAGCTCTTGTATGCATAAATAAACACATCTTTTAAAAAAGTACATTCCAATGATACTCAATACAGTGCTGTTAGAGCAAGAGAATAGAAATAACCTTAAGATACAATAGGAATAAAATAAAGATGGCAAATTCATAAGTGAAATATTATGCTGTCATGAATAAGAACAAGACTGTGTTTATATGAAACATCCTTCCAGTTCCTGCCTTTCCCATCTCTCCCACAATGCTAGGCACTACACTTTCAGGTGATTCTTCTTAGTAATTTCTCCCATGGTAGGTAACCATTTTTGGCTTTTCTCCTCTTTTGTATATACTAGCCCCTAAGAAGGAGTTGATCTTTCTCAAGGTTTTTCTTCCTCCTACTCAACCTCCCTCCCCCTCTCTATTTTTCCATCTGTATTTTCATCTCTCCCCCCTCCATCCCTTCCTATCTTTTAATCATTACTTCCTGAGCATCTTCTATGAACCAGATGCCATCCAGATGTGTGGCGCATCCTGTGACTAATAACACAAGTCCCTTTACCTTGTGCCACTAAAATTCAAGCAAGTTTCTTTTATGGCCCAAACTCTATGCTTCTACTAAAGAACTTTGGAAAAGAAAATTTGTCTTCAAATAGCATTCTTGAGGAAGCTACATGATATAATCAATACATTCATTGTTTGAGCCTATGAACTAAGCAACACAAATGTTTTGACTTTATAATAATACCTTAAGTATATTGAGTGTGCCTGTCCCGTACACAGCTCCAAGCACCTTAAGGTTGATGTAATACAAAGTGGAGAAAAGCATCTCCATGAGATCAACATGAAAAATTATTTTTAAAAAATCAAGTGACAACTCTGCATAAGATGGTTAACATGAGGACACACGTTTTCAAGCAGTCCCCCAGAGGGCCCATCATCCCTAAATTTTGGTCCACAACTTGGTTAAGTGGATTTTATAACTTATTTAAAGTAAGTTATTTAAAGCAAAAAGTGACTAAAAACAAACTTGACAGTTTTCCTGCTGACAACCAGGGGCAAAGACCATGAACTTCCCCAGGGCCACAGGGGCTCTCTCACATGGAAGAGGACACTGGATCCCTGCTGCTGTCTTATATGTTGCTGCATGTACAAAGATGCTAGAATTTTGAGCCTGCAAGAAAATGAAGAAAAAATTCTGGTGGGTGAAGTCATACTTACCCTTGATAACTTTGGTTTTATGACAAAACAACCCAAAGTCTGGAAGCTGAAATAAAGTGTTCCATTTGTAGCAGTACATCCTCTTGGCACCAATTCCATCCTTTATAGTTCTGTGGTAAAGGGGGGGAACTCAAGCTGAATTCTTCCATGTTTTTCCTCTGCAAACGTGGGCTGTGGCATATGATTTTGACAATGAAAATGTCAGTAGGGCTTAGAAGGAGACTATTTTCAAATATCTAACTTTGACAGAGTAATTTGAGAAACTGACCAGGGTTATCCAAGGAGACAGTATGAATACAGATTGGTTTTTTTTTAAGGAGTTATTTTATTTATGCTTGCAGAACTGGGGTACAGTCCAGAGGTGCAGGGACGGTGAGAGGATTCACCAGAGACAGAGTGGGGAGCAGAACAGGCAGATTAACTGAAATACACTGCTGAGGGGAGCAGGGGTCAGGAGAGGTCTTCTGCCCCCTGGCGGGGATCGAACTCCTGATGCAGTGGCACGTGAACGAAAAGAGAAGATGTTTGAGCGTGATTATAGGCCGTGGGCAAGGATCCAAAGGACAGGTTAGCTGAGCCAGTGGGGGGGACTGGATGGAGATCCCCAGAGTCAGCTGTTTTATAGGAGTCCGCTTTTCAAAGCAAGATCTACAGACCAATAATATTAATGTCACCTGGGGACTTGTAAGAAATGCAGACTCTTAGGTTACACTGCACATTGAGTGAGTCAGAATCTTTATTTGTAAAAACATCCCACCGGGATCATAGTTTTTAATGCTGAGAATTATTAGGCCCGACAGGCAGTACTGTTCTGAGCTTCATCGGTGATGAGACTGAGCCTAAAGAAGCAGCCTGAAATAGCAGAACTGATTAATGGCTGAGCCAAGATTTCAATTCCAGAACATGGAATATAATGTTCTTTTCAAGAGATAGAGCTATTCAGAGGAATTTCTATTTTAACGCAATACAGGAGACTTGTTTCAGACGATAGAGCACCGCTAATGAACAGTCACGAGGCTGTAATTCTCGTGTAAGTTTGTTACCACAGCGGTGGCAGAATCCCTCTCTGAGACCTTGGCGACCTCGCTAGAAACAGCATTGACAGCGTCGGAACTTCATTTCCCAGAGAGCCTCGCGGCCTCCTATCGCGCGAGGCGTGACGGGGATCCCGTCCTCGGTCTCGTGAAGCGCCCGCTGGAGTCGGGCCTGACGTAAGGCGCGCGGCATCCTGGGACATGTAGTATTGCCCGGACTCGGACGCCCCCTTGTATGAATGGGGCCCGGACTGACTGCGAACTACAGCTCCTTGACCCGCAACGTTGGTGGCAGCTACGGGGGAAACGGAGACCGCCGCGGGCCGGAGAGAGAAGTGCTCGGGGACGGCGGCGATGTTCTGTGCCGCGGCAAAAGCCGCAGTTCGGCTTCCTGGGGTAGCGGTCTAGGCGGGCGCTTCCTCTGCGCGCCCGCTCCCCTTCCCCTGCACCGGCCATGCGCCCCGCTTTCGCGATGGGCCTGGTTTTCGCCGGCTGCTGCAGTAACGTGATCTTCCTAGAGCTCCTGGCCCGGTGAGTGAGTCCCGGGGGCCGCGCCCGCGCGCCGGGGCTGAAGTGAGGAAGGCGGAAGAGACACCTGGGGGGCTGGGGCGGGGCCAC